CTCATCTTTCTCCCGCAGAACAGCTGGTAGTTTCGAACTGCTGACCTTGTGGTTCGCAGCCCGATTTGTAACCACTACGCTACCAGAGCTCCTTTATCAAGCTTACAAACTGGTAAACTGAAAATGAAAGGTTCCAGTCACCAGTCTGTGTTGTTGTGACATCTGTGCATGTTGTAAAGGGCCTGAAGTATTAGAAATATGTTCCTGTATGTATGTTCCTGAATGTATATCCTGGGGGGGCAGAGTGGGACAGGGCACGGGGTGGGTAGGTAGAGAAGAGATGCATCTGAGCCCCAGAGCCTGGCCCCTCCCCCTGTGTCTTATCATAGTTCAGTTTTGTTTCTGTCTCACGCTTTCTGGCTAGCTGTAAGAAAAGGAAACTGAAACCGAATTTGAATGCAGCTTCAGGGAGACTCCAATCCTGTGATACTGCCCTGTGACGTTTGATTTGGAGGCCTATAAAAAGCAAGGGCTGCCGAGCCACTGGAGGAGGTGGGAGTCAAGAGGCAGCAAACTTCTTTGTGGCTACAGAGCAACTAGCACCGGACCCCACAACCATGGTAAGGCATGTTTGAGAGTGGGAGGCAGGTGGACTTGATACCAGTTGCTTCTCTGAACCCTTCCTCACTGGGGGTGGATGCCTGGTGGGTGCAAGATGCTCTGAGACATTCAGAGGCTGTACCCCACTCCCACCCCACCCCCATGTTTGGAAGGACTGAGTTCTGGGTGAAGTCAGGATTTGGGTCTTGGAAGGTGGGTTTACTCCAATGGCCAACCTTGGATCCCCTGACCCTCTTTCTAGCAAGCCTGCTCTTCCATGGTTCCTTACCTGGGCTCTGGTGGGTGGGGAGGAGCAAGACAAGTGACAGCTTGTTCTGGGCCAGCATCAGGTACATAGTGGCTCCAGGACTGGATCCTGGATCCTGAGCTACTTGATGCTTCACAGGGTTGGGACCTGAAGGTGAGGATGCTGAGCGGCCAGGAGATCTCAGTGCCCCTGACCAACTCCATGATGCTGTCGGAGCTGAAGCAGCTGGTCGCAAAACAGATGGATATACCTGCCTTTCAGCAGCGGTTGGGCCACCCAGATGGCAGAGAGCTGCAGAATGGGGTGCCCCTCATCAGTCAGGGCCTGAGCCCCGGTAGCACAGTCCTGCTGGTAGTGAAGAAATGTGAACCCATGAGCATCCTGGTGCACAATAACCAGGGTCGAAGCAGGGCCTACAGTGTTCAGCTGACTGACACTGTGGCACAGCTGAAGCAGCAGGTGTCCCAGCAGGAGAGAGTGCAAGTTGACCACTTCTCCCTGACCTTCCAAGGGAGACCCCTGCAAGACAGTGAGATGCTGGGAAAGTATGACCTCACTCCCCAGTGCACACTGTTCATGAATCTGGGACTTCGGGGCGGCGGGGACAGACCCTAGGGGGTGCTGAAGTTCCTGCCATCCTGAGGTGCCTGAAGCAGGACCAGAATTCCAAGACCTGCAGGCTTCAAGTGCCAGTAATAAACATAGATGCATGCAAACTGAGCTGCTGTCTTTGTTTCTACTCTGTCTTTGTCCCTGTATCTGTCTGCCTTCATCCTCCCCACTGCTGATGGGGAGGGGCAGGAAAGCGTAATGGAGAGGAACCAAGGTAGATAGGGGTGTGCAGGCCAGGGTTGCTAACAGGCTAAAGGATAAGGTTTTCACACTCAGAGTCTGGTGGGCTTAAAATAGTGAAGAAAGTAAAGTAAGATATGTCCCCCACCATTTGGGAAATTAATTTGGGAAATGAATGGAATCCATGTAGGTGAGTGATCTCCAGCCTCACACTGCTGCTCCCCCACCTGAGAACATGCGGCGGTTGGTCTGTGGAGCCTGTCTGGGTGTTTGTGAGGGAGGCAGGGCCACAATAACTGGGGCTGAGGGTATCTTGTCACTCCAGAACCAGCTAGCCTACACTGTTCTTGGGAAGTGTTTGGATGGGGTTTTGATCAGGACTGAGCTGCTAATTGAAGCCTGTATCCACATCCCCACAGTGACTTCAGGATGAAGCGGGGAGACACTGCAGAGGGGAGAGGGGAGCAACCATGGCTCAAACAGATGAGCTTGTCACAGTTTGGTGAACACTGGAATGGGGAGTTTCCAAAGTCCAGGGGAACAAGCTTGTTTCTGATTTAAGGGCACTGGAATGGGAAGTCCCCACAGTCCTGGGGGAAGGAGGGGAGGGTGGGTTTTCCTAGATGGAGGTGCACTTGATAGGTGTTTTGCCTTTCCCTCCTGTACCAATCTCCCAGACGAGTCTCTGTGAATGAGCCAGGCTGAGTCAGCCAAGGGCTCTGGTAAAACGTGGGGGAGGGGAGGGCGCATAGCTGGACCAGTACCTTTGAGCCAGAGACCATGGCTCTAGAAAGCTCTCGGTCTTCAGCCCTCCAAATCCCAGACCCCTTTCTGGTCTGGGGGCTTGTATCTGGGCCAGGTAACCCCTGTCTGGCTGTGCCATGGTAGCTAAGTGTAGGCTAGTGGGTGAATGGGATTTGCTTTCCAACCTTGTTTCCTGTCGTTCCACCCCACCTCCCCCAATCCCGTGCATGCTGTAGCTCACTTAGCAAAGACTTGAGCCGATGAAATTACTGCTGTTAGTGTGAGAACAGACCCTGGCCACCAAACTCCTTTCCTGAGCCCCTCACCAGGGTTAGAAATAGGGACCCCTGGTTCCTCTGCCCATTCACCTTTTTCAAACTGAGATCTGTTACTGCTTTATGTGAGGGGTGTGCACAGCAGACCCACCCCTAAGGCAAAGAGGTCTTCTTCCTCCGTTCCTATATTCAGCTTGGTCAGTCTACAATTTGTACACTCTGGACCTCATTTTACCCCCCACACCACTACCACCACCACCACCACCATACATCAAGGTAGAGTCCTGGCATTGCGCTGTGAGCTAATGCGTCAGACTACAAAGTCGTTTGAACTGCAAGGTCAGTAGTTCAAGCTCACCAGCTGCTCCTTGGAAACCCTATGCAGGGTCGCTATGGGTTAGAACTGACTCCATGGCACTTCACTACCACCACAACAACATAACAACAAAGTGGAGTTCTGGTATGGCGCTGTGGGTTAACAAGCTGGACTGCAAGGCCGGTTCAAACTCACCAGCCATTTCTCGGAAACCCTATACAGGGTCACTATGAGTCGGAACCAACTCAACGGCACTTAACAACAACAACAAATCTAGTAAGGTCGGCAGTTCAGACACACCAGCTGCTTCTCGGAAACCCTATACAGTGTCGCAGGACTAACACACTACCGCACTTAACAACAACGAAGCCGGAGAAAGAGCTTGGACAGGGGGCGTGGCCGGCCAGGCAGGACTGGAGTTTGCAGTCGCAGGACTGCTAGAGGCGCCTTCGGCTCTGCAGTGGCTGGAACGCGAGGTGAGGGGGTGGGAGAGGGCGGGAGATAGGCGGGCTACGCGGCATCCTGGCCAATCACCACAGCCCGCGCCTGCATTGGTCCCTGCCAGTTGGGGGCGCGGCCTGCTGGGGCCACCTCTCTGCCTAGACGGGCTGGGACCTGGAACCGGGGGTCTGCTCCAAACCTCCTTCCCATTCCTGAGGCAGACTGGGGTTCCCTGGTTGGCTCCTCCCACGGTAGTTCAGGGACACGGGGTGCAGGTCAGACAGCCGTCTACCCCCCGCGGTGAGGAAGCCGGCCACTCCCACAGTCCCAACGCCTCCTCGACCCCCTTGTAAGTCCCGTCACGTCGTCTCCTGATTAGGCATTAACCCGATTCCAGCCGCATTTCCTGGGGGTGGGGGTGAGGGGGGGACGGGCACGTGCGGGGGAGGGGCGGCCGCGGGAAACGCCGCAGCCCAGCGAGCCCCGGCCCCCACCCAGCGCTGCGGTCCCGGCGCTTTGTTCCCCGCCGGCGCAGGTCGGAGGGCGCAGGGCGGGCCGGGGGCGGTGCGGGGGGGGCGGTGCTGTCAGGGGTCCCGCCCCACCCCGCCCCCGCCGCCCTCGCGCCGCCAGAGCTCCCGCCGCCTCCGGGAGCTGTGTCCCATCCTATCCAGTCCAGTCCCTTGCGCGGTCCGGCCCCGTGCTCTTCGCTTCGGCCGCCCTCCTCTGTCCGCCGCCCCTGTCCCGGGCCCGCGCCATGGCGAGCCTGCAGCCGGCCGGCTCGGGCCCTGCCGCTCTTGGCCCGGCCCTGCTTCGGCCACTGCTGCTGCTCCTGGTGGTGGCCGTGAGTGTCCTGCCCGGCGCCAATGGAACATGCCCAGAGCGGGCGCTGGAACGAAGAGAGGAGGAGGCAAACATTGTACTCACCGGCACCGTGGAAGAGATCCTCAACGTGGACCCGGTACAGCACACGTACTCGTGCAAGGTGGGTCCCCCACTCCCTACCCACGTGAACCCTCTTCTCTCCCGCGGCTCTCTGACTCTCCAGCCCCTCTCGAAGCCCCGGCTTGGGCTTTCCCTCGCCATCCTGGCCCCTTCGTCGCAGGCCCTCCCCTGTGATGCTGGCCGCCCCGCTGGGACCCCCGCCCCCAGGTCGTGGGAACGCGCTCCCGGACGCTCCGCAGCCTCCGCTCTAGCTCCCTTGGCGACCGCCGAGCCCCCGGTGGGGCGCGGGTCCCCGGGTGGGGCACGGGTCCCGGAAAACTCTTGTGTGCTGAGTGAGGGAGGGAAAGTTCTTGCTGTGCCTCCCACGGTGCCCAGGCCCAGGGGAACCAGTCTTGTCTACCTTTCCACGTCAAGCCCATGACCTTATCAGAAATAAGTGTACCCCCAATTGGAGGACTTATGGCCGCTGCACCCCCTCCCCACCAGCCAAAGAAAGAGACTAGGGATGAGAAGTGAAGCTCCCTGCTGGGGTGGGGTTGGGGACTGGGCCTGTCAATGTTATCACCCCCCCCACACACACACACACAGGTCTTTGCCAGGAGAGAGGTGGGGTGGCCAGGAGAGGGGTGCACTGCCAGACGGCGGTGCTGCAGTGATTGGGTGTGGGGCAGGCAGAGAGGTGTGTGGGGGTCATTGCTGAGTCTAGTATGTGTGGGTGTGTGTGTGCAGGGGCAGGCCTGGGTTCTCCCAGCTACAGGATGTGGAGGAGTTGTCTTGCTTTGCCCTCAAGTGGATTTGGGGTCCCTGGATCTCTTATGGTGAGATTTCCCCCCATAGTCTGCTCCTGTGGAGGACTCTAGGGACCCAAGCCAGACACGCTCCCCTCCAGCCCAGAAACTACCTCCCCTGACTAGACCAGAAAGCCGATCACGCCCTCTGCGTGGAGCCAGGGAGGGTGGCATTGCTCCTTTCAGACACGCAGCCCTTGCAGGCTACAGCTGGGATCCCCGCCGGCCCCCTCCCCTCTGCGACCTGCCTGCGGGGCATGCTGCCAAGTCCCTGCAGGATTTTCCCGACTTCCTCCCTGCAGCTCCTGGGTGTGGCTGGGGTAGGGGGTGGAGGGGAGGCAACGAAAGCCACTTTGAAAGCCACTCGCCCCTCCCCAGCCTGGGCTATCTGAAGGCCTTTCAGAAAGAACTGTGTCTGTGTCTAGGGGTGGAGGAGTAGGGTTGGACAAGGCCCCACCTGGGTGAACAGACAGTAGATGCTGGAGCCTGGCAGGTGGACCTGTCTTCCACTGTCCCCCAGCCCAGCTTACAGGCTTAGCCAGCTCCAACCAATATCCCCCGTACCCCCTCTTGAGGAAAGGGTTTTCTTCTTAGGTCTCCTACAGGGAGTGCCTATCCCTGAGGCACACCCCCAGCACACACCCCCAGGCTGCGGCTGGGCTGTCAAGACGAAGTGGGCGGCAGTTTGTCAAAGCAGGTGCCCTCAGGGCCTAAAGGAGTGAGGAGGGTGGGGCACCCTGTGAAGTTGCCTGAACTTGACTGTGGTTCCCTGGTGCTATTGGAGCTCAGTGGGAAGAGGGGGCTTCCACCTCCTGAGGGGAGGGTGTCACAGCCCACCCATGGGGCTGGCCCACAACCCCAGCCATGAGCTTGCCCCCCCCCCCAAACTCTTGTTCCTGGCTTTGCCCATAGTGGGCCCTGAGTGGTGGGTGGGCAGATAGGAAGAGAAGGGAGGGGGCTTAGAAGGCAGAGGCCCTGGGCCACTGGGTCCCCTTTCCATGTCTAGCCTGAGCTGAGGTAGATGTTATTGGGGTCTGAGGGGGCTGGGGTCATTAGATCAGGGAGGTCAGGAGCTGCCTGCTGAGGGAGGGGTGTGTTCCCAGGCAGCATGTCCTCCTGTGTGAGGACCTCTGGCATCCTTGTAGCTTTTGATGGGGGCCTGACCCAAGGTCTCCATGTTACCCAGGGCTTGGGTCTAGTCAGGACATCTGGCCTGAGCAGCCAAGACTGAAAACGGCGGACGTCACTCCCTTTGGCTTTGGGACGGGTACCACTGAAACCTGCCTTCCCTATTTCCAGGTTCGGGTCTGGAGGTACCTGAAGGGCAAAGATGTCGTAACCCAGGAGAGCCTGCTGGATGGTGGGAACAAGGTGGTGATTGGTGGCTTTGGAGACCCTCTCATCTGTGACAACCAGGTGTCCACTGGGGACACTAGGATCTTCTTTGTGAACCCTGCACCTCCATACCTATGGCCAGCCCACAAGAATGAGCTGATGCTAAACTCTAGCCTCATGCGGATCACCCTGCGCAACCTGGAGGAGGTGGAGCTCTGTGTGGAAGGTGTGAGGGGTCATGTGGTGGGAAGGGCAGCCATGGTCAGGTGGTGGCAGATGAGTGACTGCCGGGGTGGAGGGTGACTGCCTGTCCATCATGCTTTGGGGATAGAAGGAGAATCTGCTGTCGGCTGGAGCACATGTTCTGTGGTGATTTTGTTCCGTGTTTCTAGCCGACCATCCTAGGTCAGTATTCTTGAGATCTGACATTAGAACTCACCCAGCTGTCTAGCCGTCCTTGTCTGGGAGCAGAAGGAGTCCCAGCCATGCACAAGGACAGACCTCTACATCTCCTCCCCCTAGTTCTGCTCGCCCCCCTTCGAAGGGCCTTTTTTGAGGGGAGAGGGTGGGACCAGGTGAATGAGCACCAGCTGTTGATGTCTCCTCAGAAGTCCCAACATCTGTCTTGATTTGATCCAGATGTCTTGCAAGCCCCATGTGGTGCTAGAGGGGGACTGCCTGGTATTTGTTTGGAAGTGGCTGTCATTTCTGGAAGGGGCAGCTCTGTGGAGTAGGAATGGGTTTGGGACCTTGATGAAGGACCTTGCTTCACTTTCTGTCCTTATGTGTCTAGTAGCGTAGTGGTTACGAATCGGGCTGCGAACCTCAAGGTCAGCAGTTCGAAACTACCAGCTGTTCTGTGGGAGAAAGATGAGGCTTTCTGCTCCCATAAAGATTTACAGCATCGGAAACCCTGTGCAGTCTATGAGTCGGAACCGGCTCCACGGTACTTAACAACAACATCCCTATGTATCGGATCTAAATGGCTCAGGGTGTCTGCCCCTTCCCCTCCTCCCCAGCCTCTGGGAAGTGGGACTCACGTGACAGACTCCTTTCACCCAAGGACAGTCCCAGTTGGGGGCTGAGAACCTTGGCTGGGAAATGAGGCAAGGGGGGCGTAGGAACTGTTCGTCGCCCCCACATCCTGTCTGGTCCCCATCTGCCTGGGAAAGGATGTACCCAGGCTGAGGGGTGGTCCAGAAAGGACATTTCCTCTTATGGTGGTGGGAAGGGTCTATGACTTCCGGTCCTAGGGAAGGCAACTTCCCCCTCACTCCTTGACCTCTTGACCAGACTGGAGTCCTGTCTTCTATCTGACTCTCTGCTGTGACTCTGCCTGAGGAGTCTTTGTAAGGTGCTGGGTTGGCTTCGAGCCCATGTTTTTTGGGGAGGAGGCTACATTGGGGGAAGAGTCCCGGTGTGGTGCTGTAGGATAAACATTGGGCTGCAAGGTCAATGGTTCAAAGCCAACAGCTGCTCCTCAGAAGCCCTATACAGGATCTCTATCAGTTGGAAGCTACTTAGTGACACTCAGTTAAACAACAAAGGCGAAGGGCAGCCCTAAAGCTGAGCCATACACATTTCTCCCAGCCTATCATGGACTGCCTTCTGGGCCCAGTATCAGAAGGATTCCCTGGGGCAACATCTCCGTCCTATGTGGGGTCCCAGCATGGCTTCCACCACAGAGACCATTGAGATACTGGCCCTGCTCCAGAAGTTTGCGGGCTTGGCAGGCAGTTGGGATGAAGAGGAGAGGAAGAGGCAGCAGTTGAGAGGGTTGTAAATGAGAAGGGGTACGGAGGGGTGATATGGGGTACAGAAGGTGGCAGGCTTTGCTGGTGGTGTTCAGCTAGGGCCCAGGACAAGGTCTTCCTTTATGGGAAGGGACAGGTGAAGGGAGATCAGGCGTTGACAGCTTCCTATTTCTCCAGATCAAGAGAGCAACTAATTCACTCTGTGTATCTGGGCTAGTCTGGCCTGAGGAGGGTCTGTGACTCAGTAACTGAGGACTTGCCATGGGATCAGGGCATGTGGCAGGAGGTCACCGTAGGCAGAACACGGTAAGACATCAGCCAGGCTGGCTCGACCCATACCAAGCCTTGACTTTGTGTCTCAAGTGCCCAGACTGGGCAGAGGAACAGCTGGAAGGAGCTAGACCTCCTGCCCCTGCCCAAAGCCCCTGGTGGACCTGGGCTGCCCTGGAGGGGTGACCCTAAGCTGATTCTGGAAGGGTCTATAGTGAACAGAGGTGTGATAAGTGTCTGTCAGCCCTTGTTCAGAGTGGAGAGCTCAAGAAGTGGGCCCAGAATAGAGCCCACTGAGGGAACTCGGGCGCCTTGTGAGGCACTAGGGGTCTTAGAAGCATTGAGCTGAGACTGTCATCTGCTTTGGAAGAAGACCGGGGTCCCTTAGAATTCGTGCTAGACTGAGGAAGGAACAATTGGTTTGTGCCCAACCCACCCATCTCATCTCCTCTCTTCTATTATCTTTAGGAGATAGGACAGCCGACTCCACCCTAGGCTCTCTACCCTAGGTTCTTGGGCTGGGGAAGCCTAGCACCAAGGTCCCCCCCTCCCCCGTGAGGACATAGATACAATAGGGCCTGATAGGGCTTGGCTAAGCCGACCCTTACCCATCTGACTCCTGTCCCATTCTGTTTCCAGGGGGTCACAGTTACCTTGGCCCACAGGTTACAGGGAAAAGTGTCAGTAGCCTACCGTAGTCCCCACCCCCAGTAGGTGGAGGTTACCTTGAGACCACCGGGTCCTTCCTTGTGGAACAAACTATTCCCTGAGAACTCCCAGAGGGAGGCCTAGAACATGGGGGCACAGCCTCCCAGGGCTACTTCCTTTCACTGGCGATTGCAGTCCTCTCCTTACTCCAAGCCAGGTCACCCGAAAGCCTTGGGGAAAGTGGCTGTAACCTCTCAGTGTTCAGACCCCTCCCCTTTCTTCTCTTCCCACCTCTGCCTCACCTCTCCTCTTCGGCTGGGGTCCCTGGTCTGCTCTGCTGAAAGGGCAGCTCCTGGGGAGGGTGTTTCCCTGCCCTGGGAGGCTGGAGGCTGCCCTGTTCGGCCTTAGTCCCCTCCCCCAGCCAGGGCTCTGCTCCTTGAAGGTATGACCCACGACTTTTCTCCTAATGGCTCCTGCCATCGCCAGCAAGCCTGACTCAGCTCCAGTGGAGACTGGCTTCCCTTCCTCAGTTTCTCCCCAGGTCTGGGGGTCTTCCGGCCTGGTCCAGGCGAGGCCCCTCCCCCAGTGCCCCAGTCTGGCTCCTCCTCCCCCGCCCCGGCCTGGGGAAGCCACATTCCTGACATAGCTGAGACAGGTATGTGCCCCTCCCTCTGCTGCCACCTTTGGGCCTGGTGGGGGAGGTCCTCCTACTCTGGAAGGAGACCCCCCACCCCTGCTTTGTGGAGAGACGGCCTGACCTCTCCCAGTGTAGTCACCCACACTCCACGAGCCTGCAGCCATCCTGTCCTGGTCTGGGCGTTGCCCACAGGATCCCTGATTCCCGCCTACCCTCTACCTCATGAAGATATGTCCTGGGGTTCCTCCATTAAAGCCCCTCTCCCGGAAAGGATTCTGTAGCCTGGGCCCTCCCTCCACATGAGGGGCCAGGAGTAGAGAAAGGAAGTGTCTGTCTTGCACAGGGGCCTGATTCAGGGACAGGGCTAGGGCCAGTGTCAGAAAAAGTCTGGCCCTAGCCCAGCCTAGTCCTGCCCAGCCCTGTAGTTGTTGGCTAGACTCTCGCCTGGGAGGAAGTGTGCCCTGAGCCCCAGGAACAGCATGGGCTTTGGGGGAGCAAGACCTTCAGGTGGGCAGATTGGGCTCAGATCTGGAGAGGCCAGTCTGGCCCCGGGCACCTCTGGCCTCCCAGCAGGCCTGTGAGCTGCAGCCCCAGGTGGGTGTCAGTGAGGTTCTGGGCTCAGGGTAGGTGGGTGGCTCTTTGCTTTGCCCCCTCATTCCTCTGTGCTGAGGTGGGGGTATGAGTGGATGGTCACTTGTCTCTATTCTGAGTTCTCTCGTGGGCTCTCCTAACTCAGCTCCTGACCCCACTTGAGCCCTCTCCTACCGCCTCAAGGCTGCGGACCCAGTAGGAGGCAGGTCTGGGCTAGAGGCTGGCTTGCCTGGAATCTCCCTCCTGAGTCTGGGGGAGGGGTCTGTCCAGGTGGGGAGGCCCTGCGGCCTTCTCCCCACCTGGGGGTTCCTGGTAGGAAGTGGGATCAGGCGCTCCCTGTGCACAGGCATGGACTTGTCAGTCTTTCAGCTCCATTGGACTCGCCCAGGCCTGGGAGTTGCTAGGGCAGCCTAAGTCTGAAACCACAGGGGCACAGTGGTAGCCAGGGTGGGGACCCTGATTCCCCCTGGGTAGCCCCCCCTTTAGGGTGGGCAAAAAAAAATGGGGCTGAGCTGGTGGAAAGCCCTCTTGGCTTTTTCCATTCTGGGAGGGAGGGGGCACCTCCATTTTCCCTTGCGGATAGACAAATGGAAAAGAAACTGTCCCACCCACTTCTGTCTACACTGGCTTCCCCTTCAGTCTATACTGTGGGGACTGGACACAGTGTACCTTGTGGGAGCAGCTTTTGTCCTCACAGTCTGTGCTCTTACAGCATCCATTGGGGGAGATCAAGTGGGGTGGGGGTGGCTTGTCTGTGAGGTCACCAGGATCCAGCCAGAGGTCATTCAGCTGTTCCCCTACTTCTGTGAGGCCTGGTGGCGTCCCTTCCTTCCTGAAGGATTAGTCCCCCAAGTCCTTGAGAATCAAAGTCTCTCTGTCACCAACATGACAGGAGGGTGAAAAACAGCTGCAAACCTGGCCAGCTGCTCACTTCAGAGGCTGGGGCCTCTCCCCATTCCCACCTGCGTTTCTGATAACTAGGTGAGTAGGGTCTCCACAGAAATAGCCACTAGGCTCGAGTGGGGCTGGGAAGGACTCCCCTTCCTGTTCTGCTGCACAGGACCCCCGTTGGGATGAGGGAACTGAAGTGTGACCTGGGCTCTGGGACCACTGTGGCTGGGGGTCTGCCTGGGTAGACACCCAGGAAGGCTTATAGGGTAGAACCCATTCTATGTTCCATGTGCTGCTCACCTCAGCTCAGGGGGGCAGGTATGGGGAGGGGGATCACCTACAAGTCCCTGGAGAGGCAGGCTTCCTGCTGGGCTGAGAGACTGAGGCCTGGGGTAGAACCTCCCATGGGGAGGAAACTCCTCCTTCAAGGACCTC